CCAAGGTTGAACAGTAAGTTTACCTACAACACACAACACAGCATGCATACTGTGACACGACGTCGTTCCGTCTGTCTGTGTGTCTGTCTGTGTGTCTGTGCAGGAACGAGTCTGAGGCGGTGTTGCGTGCGTTGAAGGGCATCCTGAACAAGCTGACGATCGAAAAGTTCGACCGGCTCTACCAACAGATACTCGACGCTGGAATCACTCAAAACTCTGAGGTGAGTGAGGCGGCGAGGGAGTCAGGAGACGGCAAGGAATGGAGGTCCCGTGTGTGTGTGTGTGTGTGTGCGTATGCATGTCATGTCTGTCTGTGTCTGTCGATCAGATTGAGGCGCTCGTGGGGATGGTCTTTGAGAAGGCCACCACGCAGCACCACTTCATCGAGGTACACAACACATCACACACACACACACACCCTTTCTTCTGTCTGTCTGTCTGTCTGTCTGTGTGGGTCATCCATCGCTCCATCAGATGTATTCTCAGCTGTGTGTGCGTCTGAAGGACGATCTGAAGGCCATCATGGACAAGGGGGACAAGGCCGACGGACAGAAGGAGGGCACAGAAGAGGACAAGGAGTTCAGAAGGTGGGCAGTGCACTGCACTCATGCATGCATCCATTCTTGCAAGTGTCTTCTCTTCCCCGGACGTGGTTTCGCGTGTGTGTGTGTGTGTGTGTGGGCGTGTGTCGTTCGTCCCAGGATCCTGTTGAATCGGTGTCAAGAGTCGTTTGAGAAGTACCTGAAGCCGCCTGACAATCTCAACGACCTCACTGGTACCCTCCCACGCGCGCCCACCTACCTGTCCAGACCTCCATCCATTCACTCACTCACCATAAACGGCCCTGGGCCCTCTCCATGCCATGTGTTTGTGTTGTGTCGGTGCCTGCAGGTGACGACTACACGGAGGCTTATTTCAAGTACAAGAACCAGATGCTCGGCAATATCAAATTCGTGGGTACGTTACGTGGTGGCACACCTTGCTTGACGCAGACAGACAGAAACTCCCAACAACTCTGACTGACCACACCTCTCTCTCTCTCTCTCTCTCTCTGTGTGTGTGTGTGTGTGTTTGTGTATGTGTGTGTGTGTGTGGTGCAGGTCAGCTGCTGATCGAGCGTATCTTGAGCGCCAAGTTGCTGTTTGTGTGCCTCGACGAGCTCTGGCACTACGGCGAGAAACAAGGCAAACAGGGAGAGGCACAATTCGTAAGACACCTACCAACGCACACACCCCTGCGCACACAGAGCACCCTTCATCCATCCATCCATCCCTCGGGGTGTGTGTTGTGTGTGCAGGAGTGCGTGTGCACCTTCCTCACGACCATCGGGCCCGTGTACGATGTGGCGCAAGACGTGAGCAACCAACACGCCACCCACAAGCACACATCCCCTGCACATCTGCACCTTCATATGTGTGTGTGTGGGTGTGTGCCATCCATCCATCCATGCATCCATCCATCCCTCGCTGCTGCAGTGGAATAGGCGAGCGGATCTGCAGCAGTGGTTCCACAAGCTAGAGGAGAAGTCGCGCGACGAAAACCTCGGCATCCGTGTCAGGTGCCTCATGAAAGTAAGTACCTGAGGCAGACAGACAGACAGAGGCGCCATAGACAGGAGATTGGATGTCTGTCTGTGTGTGTGCATGTTTGGCTATCTATGGTGGTTCAATGGTCGTAGGATGTGTTGGATCTGCGAGCGAACGGTTGGCGCCAGGTGGTGAAGCCGGGCAAGGTGCAGGGCCCCTCCAAGCTGAGGGACATCCACAGACAACACGTCGAGGAAAAGGGAGAGGACATCGTGCTCAGCAAAACCAACCTGGTTGATGCAATAGCCCCTGCCCCCAAGACACACACACAATCATCTGTGTGTGTCTGTGTGTGCAGGAGTTGCGTGGGTTGGCTCCCCCATCGGAGGGTCTGCTGCCGACCCCCAGCGCGGCGCCCGAGCCCCCCGCCGCCGACGAGTGGGCCACTGTCGGCGGCAGGAAGAACAAACCCGCACAGCAAGCCGCTGCTGCTGCTGCTGCTGCCAGTGTAAGCGACACAACACTTTGCAACACGCCACACCAACACCGCATCTTCTTGCCGATGAGTGTCACGGTGGTGTGTCCCTCCCTCTATCTCCCTGTGTTGTGTTCGTCAGTCATCCCGTCCCCAGGAGGCCTCTCGCGTCGCATCCCGCACCCCTGGGCAGCCAACCAGGTATGGGCCCGCGCACCGCGTCATACCCATGGGCCTCAGCTGCACTTGTGTCCCGCTACCTGCAACCACCGGATGCCTTTCTGTCCGTGTCTGTCTGTCTGTGTGTGCAGTGTGATAACGTCCCGCCGTGTGCTCAAGGGCAGCGACCTGCGGGGCGATCGCGACGAGGAGCGGCGGGAGAGGCGGCAGCGTCGCGAGCGCGAGAAGGAGGAGAGGGCCAGGGGCACTGCTACCACACCCACACCCCCGCCCACGCAGCCAACGGCCGCTGACGAGAGGTCCACTTCATCAGCTGCAGCAGCAGCAGCCGGGGGTGGTGCAGAGGAGGGGACGAGCCCTCAGCCTGCGTCGGCGGCCCCTGCTGACGAGGACCGGGTAAGGGAGAGAGGCGAGCCAGGTGGTGAGGTGGATTGATTCTTCATTCCTTCCTTTGGTTGATTTGCGCGTGGTTTGGTTGGTCGTCATGTCAGGAGGACTTGGTTCACCGGATGCGGTCAAAGGCCAAGGATTACATCAAGGAATATGTACGGGCTTCGACAGACACACACACAGACAGACAGACAGACAGGCAGACAGGCAGACAGGCACGCCAGCAGTGAGTGCTGCAGAGACTTCAGATGGATAGCTAGATTCCCTCCCTCATGCGTGTCGGCCTATCTATCTCTCCCTCTGTCTCTCTGTGTGTGCGCGCGTCAGACCTTTTCAAATGACCTCGAGGACGTGACGAAGAACTTTGCTGATATGGCCATATCGGCAGACATACAATCGGTACATACGCCCACACACACACCCCCACCCCCACACACAGCAGGATCCATAATACATGTTGTGTGATTGATGTGACTCTCTCTCTCTCTCCCTCTCTCTCTCTCGCTCCCGTCACGTGTGTGTTGTGGATCGACCAGCGTGTGGTGTCAGATTTGATGTCTTGGATAGCGGAGCGCAAAGAGTCGGAGCGGGCCGTGTGTTACCGGCTGCTGATCCTCCTGGCCAAGCCATCGACCGACGGCAGCCCGGCACCACTCACACCAGACGCCATTCAAGACGGGTCAGTGAACTCTCTTGGCAGTCAGGCAGACAGGCAGGGCAGGAGGGAGGGAGGGAGGGAGACAGGGAGGGTTGGGATGATGAGAGAGCTGTTGTCTTCGGGAAGGAAGGATTCTAGAGTCTCCTCTCCGTCCTCCTGGTTGTGGAGGGGGGGGCAGTGACGACCTTATCAGAAGGCCGAGCTTGACCACGATACCACCCACACCACACGCATACACACACATAGACTTCTATGGGGGCGTGGATTGACTGACCTGTGGCCCTCCCTGCCTTTATCTCTCCTTCTGTCTGTCTGTCTGTCTGTCTCTGTCTGTTGTGTGTGTGTGTGTGTGTTGGTGGTGGCAGTGTGCGTGAGTTCGCCGAGTACCTGGACGACCTGCTGCTGGACCTGCCCAAGCTCAAGGACATCATCGCACAGGACTTCATCGCCACATGCGCAAGTGAGTCCGTAGGAAGAAAGACCAAGGGGCACCACACATAACTCCACCACCACCATCACCACCACAAGCACCCCTTCCTCGTTGCGCATGTGTGTGTGTGTGTGTGTGTGCAGGTGAGGACGCCGAGTGCTGTGTGGTGCCGGAGGACCTTATTGCAGATTTAAAGCAGCGATGCGGCGCGGCGTGATGCCCTGGCGTGTGCCAGAGGCAGAGCAGAGATCACCAGGCACGGAAGGGTGTATCATTTTTTCGTGACGCGCTGGGAGAGGGTGGGTGGATGGATGGATGGCCTCGCTCTTCCTTTCTCTCAGCTTGCGAGCCCGCAAGCTCTGTTCGTTCACAAGAATGATGTGTGTCGTGTGGGGTGCGTGCGCTGGTTGGTTGGGTTGTTCATCATCATGGATCGATCTCTCTCTCTCTTTTGGTGTAGGCGTGTGTGTGTATTGGTCGCTCGCTCTTTTGACTGACTGACTGACTGGCCGAAGTGTTTGCTCTCTCTCTCTCTCTGTCTCTCTCTCTCCCTCTCTCTTCCCACCCCATTTCACCTCACCTCAGTGTCTCATTCCTGCCTGCGATTTTGACATGACCGGCCGACCGACTGACCGCGATGTATGTATTGCTATTGTTGCTCTTCTGCCTAATCGAATGCATGCTAGAAGTGCCTGCCCATCAGCGCCACCCCTCCTTGCCCTCCCTCCCTCCCCGTCCCGTCCCACTCGCCCTAGGCTCCCTCCTCTCGGTTTTCCCCACCCACTCGTTTGCTTGCCCCCTGTCTGTCTTTGCTGTTATGGTTATCTATCGGTTGCCTGCCGGCTTCATCCTCTCTCTCGCACACAATCAAACACAACACGCTGGATGGGAGTGACGTGAGTGAGTGAGTGGAGTGTTTTGTGACCAACCGACCGACAGAAACGCGTTCGTTCGTTCGTGTGCATGTGGCTCTGTGTGTGTGTGTGTCATGTCTGGGACTGACCGAGTTGGCTGGCTGTTGGGCGTGTGTGTGGGTGTGTGTGTGTGCGTGTGCGCATGATTGAATTGAGTGAAAAGGCTGTTGTGACGGCTGCTGTGCCTCCATCCATCCATCCATCCATCCATCCAATTGCCAACATCCGTAGGACGCTGTCGGTCAAGCAAGAGTCCGTCGGCAGCCGTCTCACGCACCATCCACTCACGCATTCCCGCATTCCCGCAGGAAGGGACCAAAAATACGATTGAGCGAGTCTAACCTACAGGGTCAGTTGACCAGCTACCTGGCACCATGATCTCACAGCACTGTGACCATCCCCTCCCCCCCTCCTCCGCCCCGCTATCCACCATCCCTCTCTCTCTCTCTGTCGGCGTCTCTGTCTCCCCATCGGTGTGTCTGCGTCTAGTTGTGTCTGCTGTCTGCGGCTTTCTCGCTCTCCGCCTTCATCGCGGCGGTGGTCTGTGTGAGCAGCTTGGGGAACCGCCCACGGTGGAAGTTGTCCTTGTCCAGCCAGTTGTCCTTTGGTGTTGCACACAGACAGACAGACAGACAGAGCATTCCACGGAGCTGCTTGTTCGTTGTGTGTGTGTGTGTGTGTGCTTGTATGCCGGTACAGTACCCCTTTTCGTCTGTAGGTGAGGTAGATGACGGGCCGCAGACGCTGCGTCTTGTTCGCCAGACCACGGTGCCTGCAACGCAACGCACACAGACAGAGACACAGACAGAGACACAGACACCACCTTTCATGGCCAATCCGCCCGGCGGCCCACACAACACGACACAGCACGTGAGTGCCCTCCCCTCCCTCCGTTGGCTTGGGTTACTTGAGTCTGTAGTCGAAGAGGAGGGCGGCGCCCTTGTTTAGGCAGGGGGTCACTGGTGCCAGGTGGTCCTCGGCCCCGTCCAGCTGCCCGCCCCAGTAGCTCCACAGAAACTGCGAGCGGGGATGCAGCTCTGAATGAATGCACAACACAATGACAGGCAGACAGGCAGGGAGACAGGGAGACAGGCAGACAGGCAGACAGAGGGGGGACTGATCGAGTGATGCATGTCATGTGTGGCAGTACAGTGAGTGGAGTGGCTGGTGGGTAGACAGACTCACTCACCCACCTGTGGGTCCGATGCTCTTGGTGATGTCCTCCAGCGGCACAAACACGTTGACGCAGTGGGCCCTGCACACACGCACGCACAAGCAAACCGACGGATGCAGCCATTCACCCTCCATCCACCCACCCACCCACCCACCTGAGGTGCTCCTCCTCGCTGAGGTGAGGGCCATCCGTGTGAATGCTCTGCAGACACACACACACACACACACACACGCGCGTACACACGGGCACCAGGCCATCCATCTCGGTGCCTGCAGGTGTGTTGGTATGGTACCTGGTCGGCAGACTTGGGCAGCGAGAGCATGCAGCCCACGTGCTTGAGCTCCACCTGGGACATACCACAACGACCGTCCTCACGACCTGACAACACACGCACACACACACACATACATACACACATGCATGTGTGTGTGGTGCATTCGATGGTCAACAGGCACCTGTGTTGAGTATTTCAGCCACGAGAGGCAGCCAGGGCGGCGCGCGGGTGGCGGTCCTGTGCAGGCAGGGGAACGACTGAGGCTGCTTGAGCTTGGGGATCGTCAAATCGTAGCGGTTGTACCCACTGCGCACACACCAAACCCATGAGCAGGCAGGCACCCACCCAGACAGATAGATATGGGTCTGACAATGACTTGGCATGACCGTTTCTTGATGACGTCGAAGCCGCCTTGCTCGAGTACGTGGTGTCTGTCGCGGCTGTTGATCTCGCGCATGTACGTGTTGAACGAGTCCACCACACAGTCGTGCAGCTCATTCACCTGCACACACACACACAGACAGACACACGTGTGGTGTGGTGTGTCCCCACCCTCCGCACCTTACTAACTTACCTCATCCTCAGTGAGTGCCTCGTCGACGGTGGTCCAGCCGTCCTGGTGGAAGTCCAGACAGGCCTGCGAGGGAGAGGACGACACAACCGCCGGCAAGATGCGCTCAAGCCTGCACACAAAAGGAACGTCACAACACAACACAACACAACACATCCATCCATCCGTCCATCCGTCCAGGCATTCATTTGACAAAGTTTTAACAGAACGGCGAGCGAGTGAGTTTCCCTTCTGTGTGTGTGAGCGTACGCGAGATTGTTGAGTCGGTCCCTGAGGCACCTGTTGACACCGAATTCGTCTTTGCCAAAGACGTCATCGGCGGCGTCGGCGTGCACACCCATCCGAACGCACAACTGCACAGACACATCACATCCATGTTCGTTCATCAACACAACACAGGGGTTTTTCGTGGGTGTGGTGTGGTGGTTGTGTGGTTGGTTGGTTGGTTGAGTCAGTCAGTGAGTGACCTGACCTTGAGGAGTCTGTCGATGTACTCGAGCTTGGAGCCCAGGTGGACCAAGAAGTGGTTGGACAGAAACCCACCGCCCAAACACTTGCCTGACGGACGTCGATAACGTCAAGAATGTGTCCCATGTGTCCCCTCCCCCACCGCCCTCCGCCCACCGCCCACCTTTGATATCGGTCACAGCCTTCTGCGTGGCGACCATCATGTCCGCGTCATCCATCTCATCGCTACCCTCCTCGCTGCCCCCTTTGATATCGGTCACAGCCTTCTGCGTGGCGACCATCATGTCCGCGTCATCCATCTCATCGCTACCCTCCTCGCTGCCCCCTTTGATATCGGTCACAGCCTTCTGCGTGGCGACCATCATGTCCGCGTCATCCATCTCATCGCTACCCTCCTCGCTGCCCTCCCTGGCAACGGCCCCGCCCTTGCTGCTACGCTTACCACTACCCTCTCCTCCCTGCACACATGGCTCCTCGCTACCCTCGGCCATCTCACAATCCGCCAACCCACCCGCCCCAGCCACAGCCTACACAAACGCGCACAGTGATGAGTGAGATGAGATCGAGTCCGTGCCGTGGGACATGCCAGCCACACCTGTTTCTGATCCCCCGGCTCTCCCTCGGCAGCCCCCTCCCCGCCTGTGGCTGTGGCGCCCATGGCCACATTGGCGGCGGCACACGAGCTGCTGGAGCTCGAAACAGCCGCAGCCGCAGCCGCGGCGCTGGCCTGATTTGGGGGAGGGGGCGGTGGGAGACCGATGGCCGGTTCTGGTGGTGGCTGTGTGGGGCTGGCCTTGTTCTTGTGCTGCTGCTGGTGGTGTTGGCGCTTGTTGCTGGATGGGGAGTAGTCGGAGCCGTCACACCACCCGCACAGCCAGTCACGCTCCCGGGAGGCACTGCATGGCATGGTCCATATGGTCCAGTGGAACAGAAGACAAGACAAGGAGGGAGGGAGGAGGACAGGAAGACGCGTTGATCTGTGGGGGTGTGGTGTGGTGTGGTTTTGTCCGCATACCGACCGACCGGTTGTGTCCGATGCACTCGAGGTGGTACACGCGGGGGCATGCGTAGCAACACACGAAATTGCCGCCCTGCGCACACAACACAGACAACCACACAACCACACAACCATGCGCAGCCAACGAACAGAACTGATCTGCATCCCCCCCTCCCTCTCCCTCCCTCCCTCCCTCCCGACCTGTCCGCAGACGAGGCAGCAGAGGTCATAGTCATCGTCATTCATCTGCTCCTCCTCCTCGTCCTCCTCATCCTCATCCCCTTCCCCCTCCCCAAGCCTGACCTGCTTGCCCTTCCTACCCCCTGCAGCTGCAGCACCACCAGCCGCCCCTCCATTGTTGCCCTTCTTAGTGCCTCCCGCACTCTGAGTCTGAGCCGCAGACTTGGCCTTCGGCTTCTCCTTCTTGTTGTCGCGCTTCTTGCGCTTCGCCAGGGGCGCCTCGTCCTCCTCGTCGTCTACCGGAGCCTTCTTCTTGATGACCCGCTGCGACTTTCGGCACGGCGGCGGGGCAGCAGCAGCCGCACCACTGGCAGCCGCCTCGCTGGGGTCCACGTCCACGTCCATCGCCTGAGGCTCCTCAGGCTCAGGCTGCCCATCGGAACGGTTCGACATGAGCTGGATGGATGGATGGCCGGATGGATGGATGGATGGATCGTTGCAGATGCTTCCTACTGGACTGGATCTCTTCAACGCATTGTCCAACTAACGGACCGACCTCTCCCCTTCTCTGAGCTTGCCATTGGAGCTTGCCCTCTTTGTTGAGCTCGCATGGATGCTTCCTGTGCCTGTATGCCTGTTTTTCCCCACTGGACAGCAGCGGGTGTCAGTCAGTCACTGATGAGATGACGGCGAGGCCGTCCGCCATAGCGTAGCAATAGATAGCGTAGCCCCTCTGACGACGCCTCAGCGCAGCAATGGTGAGCCGCGGCCGCTCTCTGCCTCCTTCCCCGATGGATTTGTGTCTATGCTCTTGTCTGTCTGTGTATCTATCTGCAGCTGAAGCGGAGAGCTGATGCGAAAGGTGCCGCTTTCTACTTCGCCGGGCGCGAGGAGGTGCCGTCGTGGGCCCGCCCGCAGCCAGTGCAGGTTGGTTCGTGCAGAGAGAGGGCCAAGAAAGTCTCGTAGTCTCATTATCTCGGTGTGCGTGGCGTGTGTGCAGGGTGGGAACGGGCTGTTTGATCGGATCCGCAACAACACGTCGATATGGGTCATCGCACATATACTCAAGTGAGTGAGCACTCAGGCGAGCGAGACAGACAGCTGGCCGCCCCCAGCCACTCTATGTGTCTGTGTGTGTGTGACGTATGGTATGGATGGATGGTCGTGTGTGTGTGAATGGCATTCAGGCATCTGTCTAGCAACGAGGCCATCCGTGTGAGCGTCAAGCTGGGCCGGCCGTCCCACAACCCTTTGTGGCTCGCCGTCACAGCCCCACACACGGGCGTCTTCGAACACCTACACATCCGCGAGGGGGGAGCCGGGTAGGGGAGGGAGGGTACCACACGGGGGCACGTGTACGGGGATGGATGTGTGTGTGTGTGTGTGTTTGTGATACATACGACGCGACAGTTGGGAGGATCTGCCGGACAAGTGGGTGTTGCGCATCTCCGGGGAGGTCAAGACGGCCGACATCCACCTGCGCCGCGCCACGCCCGTCAGCCGCATCCTGGCAATCCTGCGGGCTGCGGCCCCCCGCATCACGCACCTCACTCTGGAGGGCGGCCACATCGGCCCCCGCACCCCCGGGAGGAGCAACAAGGGCAACAGCTTCCTCCTCCGCGCCGAGCTAGAAGGAGAGAGGAGGGCGCTCAGGGAGCTAGAAGAAGGAGAGACACACACAGGGGGGGAGGGAGAGGGAGAGGGAGGGGGAGGGGGGCAGACCAGCCGACAGGAGGGCGCCGGGGACGACGCTGATGAGGGGCGCGACAGCAGCCATGAGGGTCCGCAGCAGGGAGAGGAACAAGGGGAGGATGCGGAGGATGGTGCTGTTGATGGGCCTGATGACGACGACCCATTCGCAGAAATAGCACCAGTCGCGGCGGTGGCATCCTCTTCGTCGTCGTCGTCGTCAGCAGCAGCAGCAGCCATTCCCCTCCCCACACCGGCCCCCTCCCCCTCCCCTCCGTCCGCGGCATCGCAAGGAGCGAGCAAGCGCGCCCTGAAGCGGCACCGCCACAAGAGGAACCAGCGCGTCAAGGCGGCCGTCAAGGGCGACGGGGGGCCTGTGGGAGGCCACGGCGTGGACGAGCCAGAGATCGAGGGCGACATACCTGACCCTGACGTCTACGTCGACTTCCCGCTGCTCGAAAAGGTAGGTATGTGGGGAGGGTGGGTGCATCTCGACGTGTGGAGGGAGGTGGGGAGGGACGTGTCAAGCCAAGCGGGGTGTGCCGTCTGGATGGATGGATGGATGTGTTGGTTCAGGTGTTTGTTCGTTCGGGGGTCTGGCTGGTCGTCCAGTAAGCCATCTGATCACGCACATAGAGAGCGCCCCAGAGAGAGAGAGAGAGAGAGGTCTGAGAGCGTCCATCCATGTCTGTCTGTCTGTCTGTCCGTCTGTGTCTGCCTTTCTCGCTCAGCCACCGTCTGCGTGGCCGCTGCACCGCACTCAAGGAGTTCCACATCCCCACCATGATTCACGGCGTGGCCGAACGCTGTGAGCCAACGCGATACAGTCACTCACTCACGCTCCGTCAACCCATTGGCATGTTTGTGTGTGTTGTGTGTTGTGAATGAATGGCCATGCATACATACATGTCAATCAGATGATCTGCATCCGTTTGCGGCGCCCCCGCCAAGTGACGACGGGGCGTTGAACCACGGCATTATGGAGTGGTGCCGACACACCCGGTCGCTGGAGCTGCTCGCCATCCACCCATGCGTCACATACGTCACCACACTCACACAGGTCGGCACGCAGAGAGAGAGAGAGAGAGAGGGAGAGAGGGAGAGAGGGAGAGAAGCAGTGTGTCGTGTCAGTCCTCATTTCGTTTGTTGTGCATCGATCTGTCTGTTGTTCGGTCAGGTGTTGGGCAGGCTGCAGGGGAGGCGTTTGAAGGAGGTGGGGGCCGTGGCGATCCACGCCGGCGAGATGCGGCACTTCCGCCTCATGCTCCAGGAACCTGTCACCCACAAGATGGACAAACTCATCTGCTCACCGGTACACACACACACATGCAGACACACACACGCACACACATGCAGACAGACAGACAGACAGAGTCAGAAATGGGCGGATCCATCCCTATCTTTTTCTGTGGTGTGTTGCGGCTGGTTGTATGTGTGGATGGGATGGATCAGTGCCACTACCTGGAGATGACCAAGGACACCCCCGAGCGTCTGCGGGCCCTGCACGAGCTCAAGGCCGTCTGCGACCGCAAGAAGATCCAGTTCGAGCTGGGCAACGAGCGGCACCCCGCCGAGGTGCACATCCCCATCCGCCGCGGCCTGCCCTTCGTCATGCCCGACCACCACACGGCCGAGATCAACCAGGGCCTCGCCTTCATGGCCAAGAGTGCCCACAACCTGGTGTTCATCCGACCCAACTTGACCAGCACCCTGGCGCGCATGGCCGAGCCCAGCGAGGAGGTGCAGTCCACCTGGTTCGTCCCGCCCACGCTCGACTTCGGCTGCAAGGTCCTCACCATCGAGAACCGGTATGCCAGCAACGAGCCCTTCCCCCTCATGCCGCCCTTCGTGCGCCCCGAGAGATTCACACAGATAGAGCAACTGCAGCTCTGGCACATGGTCAGCCAGCCAGCCAGCCACCCAGACAGCAAGCAGTCCAGACAGCGAAACGCACGCAAAGGCAGCAGGGCCTGCGTAGTCATGTCTGTCTGTGTTGCATATGTGTGTGTGTGTGTGTGTGTGGTGCCAGCCGAGTCGCAAGTACGGGTCGTATGCGCAGGTGTTGGCGTTTCTGCAGGGGCTGCCCTTCCACAATGGTGCGGCGGCTTCATCCTCACCGTCGGCATCATCGTCTTCGTCATCCTCGTCTTCGTCTTCATCTGACGAGCATGACGAGCAGCGCCCCCCCATCCGCACAGTGGTGCTGCGCGGCCTGGGTGCCATCCCGCTGATCGAGTGCGTGGCCACCATCTGCGGCGCACCCCTGGCCGAGCACCTCCCCGACAAGACCAAGAAGCGCATCAGCAGGGACGCCCCACTCGACACGCACCACTTCGACCCACTCCTGGCCCGATCCCCTTACACCATCACCTCATTCGAGCGGCTGGGCAAGCTGTGCGACCAGCAGGAATATAGGGTCGCCCTTACACACAAGACGACCCAGAGAGAGAGATAGACAGGCCGACAGACAGTCAGGCCGATAGAAGCATAGACGTGTAGACATAAGGGATGGCAAGCAGGCCGGCAGGCAGACCCCTTGCCATGGCGAGAGGGTCTTCTTTTTTCTTGCTTCCCCTCTTGGCTCTCGAGAGCTGGCAAGGCGAACCCTTCTGTCAGCCCGTCGTCAGGTTCTGTTGCGCCGCCCCGTAGATGATTAGCTAGAGGCCGGCCGGCCGCCCAGCCCACTGATTGTTTGCTTGATGAAGTAGTGGCGTGTGGGCTGTCTGCATGTGTGTGGCTGACTGGCTGACGGGCTGAATTGACTGACACCCACGTACAGGACAGCACAGGACAGTACGTGGATGTTCCTCCTCTCCTTTATCAATTGCACATCTTGCTGGTGCTCTTGTGCTTGTGCGTGTGCGTGTGCGTGGGTGTGTCGGTGTGACAAATGAGATGGCATCTGGCGTCGCGTTTCAACCCCGCTGGTTGGAGCTGCATGGCGGGATAAGCCCCGAGTGAGTGCTGGAAGGGGTGGGGAGGGGAGGGGAGTGAGACTGCCTGCCTGCCTGCCTGCCACATGTGTGTGGGCGTGGGCACGGTTGTGCCTGCGTTGGTAGCCTACATACTGGTGAGTGAGTGAGTGGTCTCCCGCCCTATGGGGCTCGATTAAAGTGAGTGGATGCATAATTCGTGTTCGTGTTCGTGTGTGCGTGCCCTGTGGTTGGTCTTTATGGCTACAATGGCATGGCATCAGTGTGTGTTGGGTGTCCGTATGTGTTTCCTGGCCGACCTCACTCTGCGTAATGCATGCTTGCATGCCATCGGACGGCATCTCCGTCACTCACTGGCGGCTGACAGACAACGATTAATATTGTGCGTCTTCGTGCAAGTGTGCTGGGTGTCCTGCGATGACTTGAGTGTCTTAATGGGCGCCTGGCTGACTCCCACTACCCAAAAAACTGATGAGAGGTCTGCCGCGCCGGCCAGACACATAAATCAGTCGTAAATGCAGACAGACACGCACGTGAGTGTTCCCGAGTGAACGAGACAGACAGACAGACAGACAGACAGACAGAAGGGCGTCAAATCGAGAGGAAAAAAGGTGGCTCACATTATGTCTGTAGGGTGCAGCTATCCGCCTGGCGGAATCGGTAGATCGTCTGTGCGTCATCATTCAGACATGCCACGAAGAACCTACAAGGCTACGCACTCACGTGTGCATTCCCTCCCTGCTGATTAGCTACGGGAATAATTCAAGCCAGGTCTTGGGGCCCGGTGGCCCTTCTGAGTGATGTGTGCACACACACAAGGAAAGACATACATGAGAAAGAGAACGCACGTGTGCCCGTGTGTGTGATCAATCGCACCGAGTCTCTGATATTTTGCCCACAGCTCATCAAACTCGTCCTGCCACTTGTCGATTTTCCGCCTCAGCTGAACGATGCGGCCATAGAACGCCAGCGCCCACCAGCCCTTATCGTAAATGATGCTGTAGAGCTCGTCCAAAGCGCGTCCTTTCGCCCTTTGAAGTTCCCTGAGCTGGTCACTGACCTTGGGAATCTTTCCCTCTGCCAGAGCCCTCTCCTCCACCTGTAGGTGTACACACACGGGGTCAGCACTGTAAGTAAGCCGAGGTGAGCCCCCGTGTTGTCATTTCTGTGTCTACCTACCTCTGCCACAAAATCTCGGCCTTTCTCCCAAAGGTCGGCTTCACCGAAGAGCATATACGCCTGATCTCAATCAATCAACACACACAAGATAAGGCCTCACAGATCTCTCAGTGGCTGCTGACTGATTCTTCTGTGTGTCGCCTACCATGGGTGTCTGTCGCTCTTTGTGGTCTGGCTCTTCTGCGCACGCAGAGCAACACTGTGCGCCTTGACGGCTGTCTTGCCGACGGGCTGGGAGGGGATCAGGAAGGTGCCTGGAGCCACTCGCACGCCATGGCAAGGGAGAAATGCCGATAGCAGCAAAAACGCAAGCAGATATCCATCAATTTAGGGCATCATGATGGCATTCGGGTTCGGGTTCGGCGAGAACACGCCTGGAGAGGGAAGGGAGGGCAGAAGAAGGCGGTGAATTCCAGCGCCCGGGAGCTCGTCAGCAACCCGAACCCTGAGCCCTAAACCCTAACCCTGGAAGCTAATCTCTCCACCATGAGAAGCCCGTGTTTTTGCTTGCGTCGATGCTGACTGAGCTCATCTGCGCCTCGTCATCGCCGTCACACTGAGCTCCTTTCAAGGAAGGTGAGCAGCACACAGATCTGTGAGCAACATGCTTGATGGATATACTTCTCTCTGTCGGCTCTGTCGCTCTGTGCAGCCTCTCGTCGTGCGCCTCATCGAGAAACGGGAGGACAGACATCGCGCGCACCAGCACCCAACCCCAATGATGAGGTGACTTTCTCGAGGGATATCGGTTCAAGAAAACAAACAACGAAAACACCGTGCTCTCAATGATTGCGTCATCTGCTGATCTACTCATGTGTGTGTGTGTGTGTGTGTGTCTGTGCAGATCTGGTTCTCGCGGCGCCTCATGTCTGCTGCATCACCCATCGGGCACCACCCCTTCATCTCTCGGCACCCCTCCTCGCCGTGCAACCACGCACAGTGGCCACCGCATGCAGGCCCGCTGCTTTGCCGTCCGTCATCACACCCGCCGGGAGTCCGAGTGGCGGGGCCAGATGGGGCCGCCGGAATACACGCCCAGGCGGATTATCAAGGACAACGTGTTTGCTGACTTTGCCAGCCTGGTCGGCAACACGCCGCTGGTTCGGCTGAACACTGCGTCACTGATCAGCGGCTGCCAGATCTACGGCAAGTGCGAGTATGCCAACCCTGGCGGGTCGGTCAAGGACCGGCCGGCCGTGTACATCATCCGCGACGGTGAGGAGCGGGGGCTGCTGGGCAAGACCGTGGGCGTCGACACGGTCGTCGAGGGGTCGGCGGGCAACACGGCCATCGGCCTGGCACTCATGGGCTTCACGCGCCTCTACAAGACCGTCTGTGTCATCCCCAACACGCAGAGCCCCCAGAAGAAGGATCTCCTCCGACAGCTCGGCGTTCAGCTCGTCGAGGTCCCTCCACAGAAGGTCTGGCACCCCAACCACTTTGTCAAATTATCAGGTGTGTACACTCATCTCATGCACTCACTACACACACAGCTGTATCCACGTGACGTGTAGTGAGTGAGTGTACCTTCCTGAATGTCTTTGTGTGTTGGCATTCGCCCTTTTCTGCAGGTCGTTTGGCTGAGAGGATTGGCGGCTTCTGGGCCAACCAGTTCGACAACGTGGCCAACAGGAGGGCGCACTACGAGACCACCGGGCCAGAGATATGGTGGGTGGGTATGCTGCCAAATCGTCCGCCGACACACACCCAAAGATTCTGTCTGCTCTCCTCTGCTGTGGTGTGGTGTGGTGTGATGTGGCATGGATTGCTCAGGGAGCAGATGGAGGGTCGTGTGGACGCGTTCGTGTCGTCTGTTGGCACGGGGGGCACTCTGGCGGGGGTGGGGATGTATCTGAAGGAGAAAAACCCACGCGTCAAGATCTGCCTCGCTGACGTCCCCGGCGCGGTCCTACACAGATACTACACCACGGTACACTACCGTTCGACACGCACACAACACACCTACACACACGCACAAGCACAACCTGTTGTGTGTGAGTGCTCCTGTTCTGTTGTGTGTGTTGTGGTTCATTCAGGGCGAGGCGAGGGCCGAGGGCAGCTCCATCACCGAGAATATTGGTACGCTGCGCGAGAATGAATGGTGGAAGTGACCGACTGCGCACACACGGGACGGGTGTGTCTGTTGTGGGGCGTCGTTACTGATGACGGTACTTACTGATGTATACGAGCAGGTCAGGGTCGCGTAACGGCCAATCTGGAGGGCTTCCGTCCGGACTTCTCCTTCGAGATCCCCGACTATGAGTCGGTCCCCATGGCCTTCCAGCTGCTCGAAGCGGTCAGCGATTGAGCCACGAGCGCATTAGAGAGCCGAACTGACTGACATACACACACAGGCGCAAGAAAGAAAGTGTGTCCTTCCCTCATGCAGGAGGGTCTGCCGATGGGTTTCTCATCTGGCGTTAATGTGGCGGCCGCCATCAGGTCTGTCTGCACCACAGACACGGTCTGTGTGTGTCTGTATGGGTTAGTCAGTCCAGCTGCAGGAATGTGTGTGTGTGTGTGTGTGTGTGCAGGTTAGCCGAGAAGCTGGGGCCCAACAAGCGGATTGCCACGGTGCTCTGCGACACCGGTACGTCCCTCCGTCCGTCGGTCGGCACACACCTTAGTCAACACACACACACACATTGGCCATGGATGTGCCCATCTGTCTGTCTGTCTCTCATCAACCAACCAGGGTTCCGTTACGCCAACAAGCAGTACAATCCCGAGTTCCTCTCCGCCAAGGACATCCCATACCCTGAGTGGCTCGACCAGGTAGGTAGATCACTTAACGAACGAACGACCAGTCAGTCATCGATGAGTGGCCAGCAATCGCCCAGCCAACACGGCTCTGTGTGTATGTGTGTGTGTGTGTGTGTGTGGCTCTGCAGCACCCCGACCCACAGATGGAGGAGAAGCTTCAGGAAGCACAGGCCACTCAGGTGCTATGCGCCACACTGACTGCAGTCATCGCACCCATGTGGGGACAGCTTTAAGAGTCTGTTGTGTTGTGTTGTGTTGTGTTGTGTTGTGCAGGAGCAGATCGACGAGGCGATCGCCATGAACGCCCACAAGTCGACATCGCCTGACAGCAAAGTGTGACGGACGTTGCCTTGCCGGCGAGTTGCGTTGGGTCCATCCATCCATCCATCCATGAGTCTATATAATGTACCATATGACCATGACCCTGTGGCCGCACGTGCACGTGCACTGGCTGCTGGGCTCAGTTTTGTGTGACTGCCTGCCTGCCTTCCTACCTGCGATGGATGTCATGTCGTTCCTGCCTGTCTGTCTGCCTGTCTGTCTGTCTGTCTGTGTGCATTTTTATCCATCTGAGGGATCTGTGGACGGTTTTGCACCATACCAAGCGAGATGGATGCTTCTCGCGATTGACAATGCCAGCTCACCATACCCAGAGATTCAAGCGCCCATATCCTTGATGCGGCTACATAGTCACAACAAGATGTGTCTCATCCCACCACGGACGTCTGACGCAGCCAGCCACAACCACCCGCCAGCCACTAGACGAGATTCTCTTGTGTCTTGCCACAGGGCAGGTACCCCTTGCCGCGAATCCTCCCACCTCCCCCCGGCAGCCCCCGCCTCTCCCTCTCCCTCTGCCTCTCGACCACCGCAGCCCTATCGGGGGATGGCACGTGCCTGCCGAGGCCCCCTCGTCTGGTGCCCTTGTGTGCCCGCATCTCCTTCAGCTTGGCAGCAAAGGTGTCGCTTGTGGCGTGTGCTGCCGGGGGGTCCGTGTCGCTGTCGCTCAGGGGGCCCTCATCCATCGACGTGTAGGCGAAAGGGCCGCCGCTCTCCAATGGTCTCTCCTTGTTGTCCCTTCTCTTGCTGCGGTGCGCATGCGATGTGCCTTTTGCCGCCCTATGGTCCAGCTTGTCCATGATAGCCCTGTACTTGGCACCCGGCGATGTTGGCGACCTTGGTGAGGGGGAGACACCCCCACGACCACCGTCCTCCTCCCCTCGCCCACTGTGTCTCTGCCCCTTTCCCTGCCCGCCACCGCCCCCGATACATGGAGGCGCCGCCTCTTGTGCCAGAGGTGCAGGAGCGGCCTTGCTGGACGAACGGGGCCTGTCGGCTCTCGGCGGCTCCCGAACGTGCGGCACATGGTGAATCTCGGCGTCTGCGTCAGGCGATATGGGCGGCCTCGGCTTGGCGCGGCGGTGCTGTGAGGGTGGAGAGGGCGGGGCGAGGATTGGCAAAGGAGACGGGGGCGATGCGTCGCGGCTGCGGCTTGCAGGAGACAGCGAACGGGGACGGGGTGCGTCCCTGATGGAACACGCAGCCAGACCAGATCGGTCAACGGATGGGGTGCCATGGCTTTGTGTGCTGTTATCCGTGTGTCTTCTTTCTACTCTCACTCGTGGTGCTGGGTGGTGGGCTGGTCCGTCCTTTCTTGGTGGCCTTGGGGGTGGGTGTCCGGCGCCAGCGACTGGTCGAGGGCCGCAAACTCCTCCTTGAGAGCTGCCAGCATCTCCAGATGGGCCTAGAGATGTGCCCAACGCATACACACACAGGCAGACAGCCACGTCGGCCACCTTTCCCCCTCTCCCTCCCTCCCTCCCTCCCATGATACCTACCAGTGGGAAGAATGCCGGCATTTCACCTGTCAGATTGCCTGAGTCGTCCATCCCTGCGGTCAGAAACTCAGCCAGGTCGACGTCGTGCGCCTCGCCATAGGCCAGCAGGTCCACACACATCTGCACGCCATCCCATCCACACGCGATGGGACCCTGTCCTGGCCTGTATCCCTCTGTGTGCCTTCGTTAGCACCTGCCAGCAGACTTTGTCGGCCACGTCGAGAGTGTCGAGTACGCAGCCCAGGGCGTCACGGGGCGGCCTGGTGACGTCAGCTGCCCCTTTCCTGCCATGGCATGCCGTGGGGCCGGCCAGCAGACGCCACTCATTCCTGAACGAACGACACAACATCCAGCACCTCCATACTCATTATCGATGAGCTGTACAGTGAGAGTCCAGTACTTGAGCTTTTGTCTCGACTCGTTGATCCTCATGAGCAGCTCGGCAAGATGGCGGTCTCTCGAGCCCCACCGGTCATCCACAGCGCGGGACAGAAAGGCGTCGCGCACAGCGAGGCCCTGCCGAGCACACAACGCAAAACAAAACAGACGATGGGTGTGTTGTGTCACACAGCCAGCCAGCTGGGTCGCTTGCCTTGGCTGTCGGGTGCTGCTGTAGCATGGCTGGTGCAGGTCCCTGGCCTTTCAGTTTGCCGAGTGGCTGCTGCTGGGCGGCCTCCAGTGACTCCCGAGAGGCCTCGCGGAGCCGCTGAGTGGACGGCAGAGCAAGGGATGACCCGCAGAATACCGTGCGGCGCTTGACCCGACCACCTCCCTCCCTTACCATGATGGCTTTGATTCTTGCGGGAAGGTAGTCGTCATCCTTGTCGAGAGCCTGCAGGAAAGCGACAGAGGACAGAGGGCAGTGAGTGCTGTGTACATCCATCCAGCCGGTTGCAGAACGTTTTCCGCCCACACCACTGGCGCCGCCCATGTGTGCACTCACTGTCTCTTTCGGCTGTCGGTCATCGGCCACTGCACGCTGCCCCACAGCCTCGTTAGACCTGCATAGATGCAGGCGGGCAAACGAATGGATGGCAGGATGTCTCACTCACACCATCTCTTTCTTCCCCCCGTGTTTGGGGGGGTGGAGACTCTGGAGGCTCTTTGTGCAACCTCCCTCCTATTCTACGTACGTACGTACCTGAGCCACTTGCGCATGTCCTCACCGTCCGCGAAAGGGTCCACAAACTCCAACTCGTGCTCGTCCTCACTGTCAAGGTTCAAATTCATGACCTCACCACGACGATCGCCCTCCTCACCCCCGGCAGCGCCGCCACCCACACCGTCCTCACCCAAGCCGCCTTTCCCCTCTGACACATCCCGACGCTCTGTCGGCGCGTCGTCCTTCCTGGGTGGAATCGAGCCCGTGATGCGCACTTTTTGCATATTCCCTTCTTCTTGTCCCTTTGGCTGCAATGATAGCTGGAGAGGGACATGTGCCCAGTATCGGCTGGATGTGATGCTCGCAAAGTCGGTGGGGTGCTCCTCCTTGGCCGATGGTCGAGGGGCCGGCGGGGCCGTCACCGCACGATGCACACCACCCCCCTCCTCCCGCACTCTCTGTCTGTCAGCTGGGCCGACAGGCCTCTCAACCACTTTGAAAATGCGATCCTGCTGCTGCTGCTGCTGCTGTTGCTGCTGCTGGAATTGCGTTGAGAGTGGCACCACTGGCACTGCCCGCACGTCAGTGATGCTCCGATATGGCTGGACGGGGTGAGACAGGGGCGCTGAGGGTGAGGGCGGCGTGATGGCCACCAGAGGGGCGGCAGATACGAGGGCGGGAGAGTAGGGGTAGGCCGGATACGATGGTGGGGGTGCCACCGCTGTTTCGTGTGTTGAGGGTGGGTGGACGGCGAGAGGGAGTGGCTGCTGTGATGGCTGTAAAGGTGGCTTGGTGGTGGGTTCGGGCTGCGTCGGTGGCACAGGAGCCTGAGCGTGGATCTCCTCCTCTCGCAGCCGCAATCCCATCCCTGCAGAAAAGATGCCAACACATGACGCAGCTCAGAGTACAGAGCCGATCGATTGATTCGTCGGTCGAGGGGTCGCACCTTCTGAGTCTAACGAGAGGCGCTGTATGAGGTACCTTTCGCCTCGCTGCTCATCCACTGCGGCCCCTTCCTCGCCCCCTTCCCCATCCCCAGCCCCACCCCCCCTCCCTCCCTGCTGCCCGGCCATTCTATGGTCGGGAGCCTGCACACTAAACAGGCGAGAAAGAGACGAGGAGCTGGGCGTGGCGTCTCTTTCTCTCTGCGTGAAGTAAGTGTCTCGGTTCGGGTGTGGTGTCTCACGTGTGGTGCAAGTCATCATCCCCTGTGTTGCGGTGTGAGCTGGCCGGCGAGCCCTCGATGTGGATGGCCTCACCCTGCAGCAGCTTGTCTATCAAACCTGACGACACACACACACACAGGGAGAGAGAGAGAGAGAGAGGAAGAGAGAGAGAGACGTTCACATCTTGTGCTGAGGGAATGCAACTACGTATCATATGTAGCCATCCCATCAACCAGCCGACACGATGGCGTACGTACTTAGCGGGTCTTCGCTGACGGAAGGTGGTGCCGACGGCTCCCCGCTTCTCTCACTGGCAGCAGCAGGCCGATGCTCCTCCTGCTTCTTCTGCTCTATACTGCCGCCTGCTGCCTCGTCGTCCGCGTGTTGAGGTGGCGGTGCCGCAGTGGCTCCAGAAGGGCCATCAGCACCAGATGCACCTGCAGGGGCGCTCACTGTGGAGCAAAGGAGGATAGGATAGGCACACGTGTGCCTCTGTGTCTGCATCTGTTACTTGGCTGGTCGGATGAGTGGCTCCCACCACCAGCAGCGGCAGCAGCGGAAGCAACGGCTTCCTCTCGGAGGATCTCGGACAGCAGCTGGTCGGCTGAACTCATGCTGATCGCGGACACGGACACACAAAGGCATGCATTCAATACGGAGTGGTGTGATCTGATCTGATCACTGTCATCTCGTGCTCTTTGTCCTTGCCTTATCCGTCTATCGTCTCTGCCCCCTCCTGCAGCTGATGGTACTCCTGCTCCTGCTGCTGCTGCCGATGCTGGGGATGCCTGCGATGTGCCCCTCACTGGCGCATCTTTCTTGTTGTTGCGCCGTCCCACAGGCATTGGCCGACCTGATCCACACACACACACACACACATAAAAGAGGGTGGTTTCCCAGCTCGCACACATATCAGTAGGCGCTATAGCCATCACAGAAAACACACACACACCGGTGCGTCTTTCCCCTGGTCCAGAAATGGAAGGCTCATCTACACAACCACAACCACGAAAAACACATGGCAGGTAAAGCCTCAGCCAACGAGGGTGTAAGTGGGTCGATTCCCTGACTGACCGTGGTCCGTCCGCTGCACTTGATCCCTCGCCTCTGTCCCTGCCCTCGTCTCAGCAGCCCCCGGTGGTGGCGGGCCGCCTCCCCCTGTGATGTGTTGGAAGAGGTAGTCGGCCTGTGCGTCTCGCTCGGGCGACACGAAGGCGCCTTTGGACGGGTCGGGGGGCCGCTGCACCGGCGAGCCCTCCCAACGCTTCTGGGATGCCGAATACAACTGGTGCGTGAATAAGGCAGGGAGGAAGAGGACAAGAAAGGTCGTGTGGAAGGATGGATGTGGCTCCAGTTTGTCTGTCTATGTATCACTCATTGTGTTTGCGGATGGTATGCATACCTACCTGGACAACGGCGAAGACGCCCGCCTGGTTCTTGAGCTCAACTGGAACCGACGAGAGCAAGCAACGGACACACAGCGGGAGGGAGGGAGACAGTGGGTGGCTTCGTGGTTTCGGACATGACGTATTCCATCTTCTGCCCACCTCACCTGTGCAGCGTTTGAACTTTTCTGTGCATCCGAAGTCCTTGAGGTCGAGGAAGGCCACGGCAATGTGCTCACCATTTGCCTAAATGGGCACACAGATAGAACAACACCGATTGCGGAGGCACGTAGTTAGTTGAGTGCGGGCGATTTTCGTTCCCCATCGATCGCCTGACGAATGAAAGGGTGAGCGACACTTTCCGCGAGAGGATTTTGCCGGTCGGCAGCTGAGAGGAACGAAAAGCAGGAAGGACATATATATGACATAAGACATAGACATGCATGTGTGTGTGGGATGGATGGATGCCATTGTGTGTCCGTGTTTGATGCATGCCATTCTGTGCTACGTACCCGTTTGACAGGAATGACGAGGAAGCTGCAGAATCCCAACTCGACGATGTCGCGCTCAAAGGTGAACTCACGAGACACCTCATGCGCAGAATCTGACCACACACACAACACAGACACACACAACACAGACACGCACACAGCCGTCCATCTATCCACCCGTCCATTGACTGACTCACGACGGCTGTGCTGTGTGGTGTTCCCTTCCGTACCCACTCACCTACATACCACCTGCAGACGCAGTGCCACGTGAGTAAGGGGAAATGCTCGAGGAGCTTGATCTGGTCCACATACAGCAGGAACATGACCACCTCGCTCGACACAAGGGGGTGGGCTGACGATGACGACGATGGGGGCGGGCGGGAACCGGAGACGCCCGACATGGCCTGGCCGACTACCGCTACCGACAAACACATGAATATATACATATGTAGCACAGTCACATGCATGTGTGCTGAAGCGATGTGATGCATGTGCGTTGGTGTGCTCAGCCCCTCGCGTAGTGCCTTCACCCACCTTGTTCCTCAACGGAGTGCTCGGGCACGCCGAAAAATGCCTGAAGCAGAAAGAAATGGACTTGTGTGTATGCCTTGCACGACGCCTTGTCTGTTCTGTCTCTCTACCATTCCTCGGCTTTCTCCGTTTTTCCGTTTACACAGCGCGCCTCGGGTGAGAAAGTGTTTCGAGGGCCAAAAGTTCCGCTCTTTCCGCCCGCTTGTTAGATCTTACGCCTACACAAACGGCTCTGCGGTGTCCTTCTCGCGAGATGATGGAGAGCGGTTTGTGTAGGTCAAATTGAGTAGCGTCAAAGTTTGGCAGCAGCCATGCGGGTGAGGACGCCTGAGGTGTTGTACCACAGTGAGGCGTTCAAGAAGGAGCGGCCCGGCAGCAGCACCAAGCCCGACAAGAAGGGCGGCAAGGACCAGGCTCCCAGGGGGTCAGCGGAGCGGGTGGCATCGCTCGACTTCCAGTACGGCAGCAGACGACTCGCCACATGCGGAGCCGACAATGACATACACGTACTCTACGTGGCTGGCTGCACCGTGCGGATGGCGGATGGACACACACGCATCCATCTGTCTGTGGATCTATCTGCGTGTGTTGTTATCCGTGTGCCGATGTGCGCAGATCTGGGAGGTGCTGGGTGGCGATGAGGACCCGCCAGTCAAGATACTGGCCAAGCTGTCGCGCCACGAGCAGGGCAAGGACATCAACACCGTCAGATGGTCACCCGACGGATCCACACTTGCATCGGCGGGATCAGGCAAGCTCACACACACCTGCCCTGCCCCCGTCCGTGAATGTGCGTGGGTGCATCGCATCCATGTGACGTGTGTTTGTGTTTGTGTGTGAGCGTCGTGTGTGTGAGTGTCGTGTGTGTGTGTGTGTGTGTGTCAGATGGTACTGTGGTGTTTTGGCAGCAGCGGAAGCGGAGCGAGTACCGTGCAGCGTTCGGCGAGGATGCCGTCTACGATTTCGACGAGTACTGGAAAGAGAGCGGGACCTTCAGGTCACTCACACGCACACACACTACACGAGAGCGACAGACAGACAGTGGACGTGACGGACGGACAGGCGTGTGCGTGCCGTGCCGTGCGCGTGTTGCCCATCTATCAATCCATCAGGACGAACGCCATGGCGTGGTGTCTGGCGTGGAGTCCGTGCGGCCGGTACATAGCTGTGGGGTGCGATGGGACTCCGAGCCAGACCTTCGTCGTGGATGTCGTTGACGGTGGTGCGATGGATGCACAGCGACGGATGGATGGATGGATGGATACGCGAGTGTGATGTGTGTGTTGTGTGTGGTCAGCCCGGGCGGTTGTTACGCTGTCGGACCACAACGAGACGGTCATGGGCGTCACGTGGGACCCACACAGCCAATTCCTGGTCACGCAAAGCTCGGACAAAACGTACGTACGCGAGCACACATGTGCGCCACACCATACCCACAGACACGAAACGCCCTCAAGTACCTACCAACCGAACCGCCGGTCACGTCTGTCTGTCTGTCTGTCTGCCTGCACTTGTCTGGTGGATGGATGGATGGACACATGGATGGGGTGCAGTGTCAAAGTCTGGACCAAACTCAAGGACAAAAGGAAGTTCCGCAGCACAGCAATCGTAGGCCCCCTCTCCCCCCTCCCTCCCTCCCGCCTGTGCTTAGGATGGTGTTGTTCATGGTGATGGTGTGGCATACGTAGTGGTGTGTTGTGTGTTGTGTTGTTGTGTCCAGGAGAGGCTAGGCAAGGCCAAGGTGTCGCTCGATGGCACCGACCCTGAGAACAACAGGATGAAGAAAAAGAGAACGGTACGTATGGCCCCATCCGTGTGACCGTGTCACAGCACACACACTTCTGCCCACATCCCTGAGTTACTGACCGATTCGTTCGTTGATGTGTAATTGCTGGGTGGTTGGGTGGTTGTAGAGTGAGGATGACGACGAGGACAACGAGGACGAGTGTGAGGACGAGGAGGCCGCCCGCACCAAGCAGGTCAACCTCTTCCTCAGCTCATCCGCATGCCCCTCGTAAGAATTGCAATTGCACCCACTACACATCACATGCCATCAGCTAGCTGCATGAAGAAGGTTGTGTGTCGCATAGCGTAGCGTACCCATCCGTTTGTTTTGTGCATGTCTGCCTGTGCATGCATCAGGCTCGTTCGTCGCCCAGACTGGTCCCCCGACGGCTCCTTCTTCCTCACTCCAAGCGGTAGGGAGGACCGCACCGCCTCCCTCGCACCACACACGCAGCCATCCATCCCTTCACTTAAGCACCGTACTGCCGTCTCTCTCTCTCTCTCTCTCTGTCTCTGGCTTTGCTCAGGTCAGTATTCCCTGAGCAACATGCCGTCGGGCCGTGAGTTGATGGCCCACAACGCCGAGCGCTTCCAGCGGCGGATGGAGGAGGCCCGCAAACCGGCAAAAAAGAAGACCAACAATGACAAGAAGAAGAAGCAGGGCAAGAAGGGCAGTGCCAGGGCGCCCTCACCCTCACCCTCACAAGCAGCAGTAGCAGCAGCAGCCGCTGCACCAGCCGACGGCCAGACGGACGAGGCCAAGGCCAAGGCCGGCAACAACAGTATGTCTGTTGATGTGCCCGACGGTGGTGAGGCGATGGAGGTCAGCGATGGCGACAAGGGGGCCGGTGCCGTGCTCAAGGACACCAAGGCGCTTCCCGCCACGCTCGTGTTTCATCGGGGGCAGATGAAACGGTACGCGACCAACAATGAATGAATGGCTCGGCAGGTCGATGCGCATGCAGAGATAGGGTATCATGCACTTTGCTCTGTGCCTGGCTGCCTATGGGTGTGTGTGTATCTGCAGGCCCTCTCTGTGCATCCCTCTGCCCGACTCCGCCGCGGTAGGCATCCGCTTCTGCCCCCTGACCTTCAAGAGCGCCAAGGTCGCCGCCAAGAAATGCGACGCAGAGGCGGCCTCATCCTCATCCTCGTCTGCAGCGGCAGCAGCAGCGGCAGCGGCTGCACCCGCCCCTCCAGCCGTGACGCACATGCCGTCTTGGGCGTATCCCCCCGACCACACGCTGCCCACGTACAGCCCCTCACTCGCACAGGCAATGCAAGCCGAGGGAAAAGACGGCGAGGGCAATGCAGGCGGCGAGAAGCAAGGGCAAGACAAAGACAAGGAGAACGAGATGGCGGGGGCGGGGGCGGATGGCGGTGACATATCGCAGTACGTGGGCAAGGTGCTGGCTGAGCTGCCTGACATGGGTGGCGGGAGCTCTCCGCGCATTAGCATGGCTGCCGGCAGTGGCAGTGGGGGTGGTGTCGAGGGGGTCAAGGGCGGGATGGGCGAGAGGGGCAAGTGGACGGTGGTGGAGGGCGACGGGGGCTACGTGGGGCCGCCCATGTACGTCTTCGCCGTCATCAACATCACCGGCAATGTCTACATCTACAACACAGAGGTAGGTGAGGTGAGTCGCCCAGAGAAGACAGGGAGACAGACAGATTTGGGTGGTTCACCACCACACACACGGACAGGTGTTTGTCCGTTTGTCCGTCACTCACTCAATCACTCGCTCTTTTCTGAATGAAATGTGTGTGTGCAGCGGACGATTCCCATAGCGTTTGTCCGCGGCCACCACTGGATGGGCCTCACTGACGCGGCCTGGTGAGCAGGACAGACAGACACCGCACCGTCAACCAACTGGATCGTTCGTTGCGCCATGCACGTACGTACGCATCTGTCTGTCTGTCGATTGCTGGTCAGGTCGAGTGACGGTCGAGTGCTCGCCGTGTCATCTAGCGATGGGTAAGTGGGTGGGGGAACGAACCATGGATGAGTCAGTCCATCAAGTAAGAGAAGTACACTCGGATCTGTCTGTCCTTTCGGTGCAGGTACGTTAGCTACGTGTATTTCGAGGAGGGCGAGCTCGGAGAGGTCCTCACATCGGGTGGGTGCGTGGGTGACATTCACATAGACACACACATTCACACGTTGATTGACACATCCACTCCACCATGTGGTCACTCATACAACACAACTGAGCCCTCATAGCCCTCCCGAATCACCATCCGTTTCTTCCATGTGTGTGGCTGACCAGTTCCGCCCATCGGCGCCTTCTCCAAGACCCCTCCCCTCAAGGGGCCGCAGCCAGGCAAGCAACCCAACAAACACAAAGCGACCAACAACACCAACACCAACACCACCAACCAGCAGCAGCAGGAGCAGCAGCAGCAGATGGCCATCGACGCCGTTGCCCCCCAGCAGCAGACCGACGGCAAGCAGCCCAAGCGCCGCATTGTGCCGACACTTCTCTGTGGGCTGGATCCTCAGCAACAGCAGGGCGAGGGGCAGAAGGGTGGCGACGGCGACGTCGACATGGCTGTGGTGCAGGAGGGCGGGGCTGATCAGGCGGAGATGGCCGTGGAGCGAGAGCGAGAGCGAGAGGGAGGGGGAGGGGCAGAAGAGGCGACTAACTAGTGATAGAGGGGCGCCGCATCTCTCTCCAGATCGATGTGTAGCTGAGCGGAGCCGAAGCGAGCCGCAATGATCTGGCTGATGGTTGATGTAGCGTGTGCTGTAGATACATACATACATACGTGCTGACTGACTTGCACTCATTGCAAGGGAGAGAGGGGGGATGGGGCCAACGGCGTGTCTGTCTGTCTGTCTGTATGAGAGGTAGACGGAGACTCCGCAGCTTGAGGGCAGCCAGGTGACAGACAGGTCGACAGGCGTGGCTCTTAGTTGTGCAGGTAGGCAGGGAGGGAGGGAGGGAGGGGGGGAGGCGGCTAGTGTGTGTCTGTCCACTCATTCATTGATCCATCCATCCATCTGTCGGCTCTGCGAGATGTCTTCTGTGTCAATCAATCGAATGAATGGATGTGAGCCCAGTCATTTCGTTCAATATGCAACGTCACACAATCACTGTTGGTCTTCACCATCAAACTCGCCGAGCGAACTTTTCGATAGGTGAAGGAATCGCTCTCCATGTGGAAGTTTTTCTGCCGGTGAAACACGTTCTTAGGAGAAACAGACTCCTTCTCATTCAAACAGACTCGAGAATGGCCAGGAAGTGATTGAATGAGGGCAGCAGCCTGCAGTCTGCATTAATCAAGCACGCCACATGACAACCAAGCAACACATGCGTGCAGCCTGCACTGATGCTACTCTCCTGGGCTTGCCACAGCCTCTCCATGAATCATTGACAATGAATGCTACACATTTGCTCCAACAGTCCAGGGCTTTCACACCACAAGCAGAACGAATGAATGAACAGATGACATGCACTGATCGCTGATCAATACTCACTGATTCACCACTTGCAGCACGCTGATCAGTCTGACGGCTGCCTGTCTCTCGAGGCATCAGCCGCTGAGCTACATGTCCAGCTGCTTCGACGCTCCCCACTCACACGCACACAGACATGCATTGAAGCGTCAACTGGCCATCGAGGGTCTCTGCAAGCCGTCCATTCACACCATCCATCCATGGCACACCAGACCAGACAGACAGACAGTCACTCAGACAGTCACTCAGACTCTCACACATGCAAGCCAATATCTACATTATCATCACGTGACTGCTGAATGGCTCTCAGTCGCTTGATGACTTCAGTCGCCCCAAAGATGTCTTTCTGCCTCAGCGAGCTGTCTGGACCTCGAGAAAGCCGTCTTTCTGTGCAGAAAGCTGTCTTGCTGTGGCATAGAGCTGTCTTTTCTGTGCAGAAAGATGGCTTTCTGATGGACCATCTGGCTTTTTGCAGCGGTCGATATCTTTGAGCTTGCCATCCAGCTCTGACCTTGCCTTGTCGTGTGCAGCCGCAACCAAATTGGCCGCAACCTGAAAGAAACCGCACACAGGAAAAGGAGACGTGTCTTTCCAATGGCCGCTGCAGTCACAGTGCAGTGCTGTGTTGTGTTGCGCAGCTGACCCACGGAACAAGCACAGATCTGCTCGGCAAAAAGACCGCTGGACGTGCGGCTGGCGGCTCCTCTCTCTCGACTCCGGCCGATGGCGCACTCACACACACTCTGCTGATAAGGGAAGCGACGCACCGCAGCACCACAGCCACAGGTGCGTGTGCGTGCGGCTCTGATGGGCTCCCCCTTACCGAAAAAGCGCTGAGGCCTTAGAGCCTTCAGAAGCCGTGCAAGTCAACAAAGCGTCGGATCACCGCTCCCCCTTTCAGATCGCCACACCCACGCCAATTCCTAAACTCCCTGTTGAACACAAACAACACAAAAGGTCTCGACAATCCTTTCCTTCCGTCTGCGAGCTAGGCTCGCAAATGAGCAGATCTCGCTCCCGTCCAATCCTCCCGGACACAGTCAGACACCGAGGATGCCGTGAGATGTGACTGATGCTGTGGATTGATGGCTCACCTTCTCACTTTACCTTCTTCGCTCACCTGACAGTGTGCTCATTTGCTCCGCTCATCCCTCTCGTCTGGTGACCCACACGGCGTCCCGTTGGCCTCTCAGACACGGCTAGCTCATTACTGCAGCACCGCCCTTGCCGCCCGGGGGCTCGCCGGTCTCTCCAGCCAAGTCAACTGACTGAAGACGTCGATGGACAGCGGCCGTGTAAGAGGGTCCCTGAGGTCTTGCTCCTCTGATGCAGTGGCGGTCAGCCGCGGTGGCCGCCAAGGCACTTCGCCGATGGCATCCCATGGACAGCAGCCGCATAATGCACTCTCATGCGCCGTCTGGCGCGCTCGCCGAAATCTCTCAGTTGCCCACATCGTTGATCAGGGCTTGTTGGTCATCTGCTGCTTGCGTCGGTGGTGCGGCCAGGCCAGTGGACGAACGGCGCTTGTGGTGTCCCCTCCGCTGCACACACAGCGTCGTCAGATCAGGTGCGTCGCTGCTGTCTGCCTGTGCGGTTGTGCTTGACCAAATGCGCCTTCTTGCCGCCGTTGTCGGTGTGCAGGTGCGGACCTCTTCTTTCGACGAACGGAAATTTGCGCGATCGAGTCGGAGAGAGGCGGATTTGAGATTTGACGCGCCTTCCGTGAGCGTCTTAGCGTTGGGGCAGTGATAGAGGTGCGCTGGTCTGCCATATCGCCCACGTAGAGGTGCGTGGGCACTCCCTCACAAAGAGCTGCCAGATCTGCCTAGGAAGGCGGACAGAAAGGCAGAGAGAGAGACAGACAGAGAGGCTCCATCCGCCCACAGCATCGCACGGCATCATCCGGCCTTTCCCCTCCCCTCCCTCTCTGTGTGTGTGGGTGTGAGGCAGTTGCACATCCATCGGCGCATCTCGTGCCGATCTCCGCTCCGTCAGGTCTCCGAGTGCTGCAGACCAAGGTACACACCGAGGGCACGAGGGAAACAGTTGATTGCGCACATGTCTCAACATCCACACACGTGCATTGCCTCCATCTGCTGTGCCTCCGTGGGTGTGTGCCGTCAGGTTGGTACGGATCTCGTCCTTCCCGCCACTGCAGCCCTCCCCCTCGCTCAGCAGACACCACCACTACCACCGCCACCACCACCACGGCGCCACGATGGAGAACCTGCCACCATTTGCCACCGGTCGACCGCTCTCTCGGCCGGCGGAGCAGAAGCAGAAGCAGAAGCAGCAGAAGGAGGCCGAGGACGCACCCCAGCACCCCGAGAAGAAGGAACGCAAAGTAGAGATCGCAACCAAGTCGGTGCCAAAGTCTCTGCTAAAGCGGAAGAAGGCGAAGGTACCAATACCCATGACACGCCCAGCCGAAACAACGAGTGGGTCCGATCCTATGGATTGTGTGTTCCCATCCGTTCAATCATTCTTTCAGGTGCCCCGTCTGCGTCTGGTCGTCGAGCCCCGGCGTCGGCATCTGGATCTGCATCTGCCGGTGGGGGTCGGCTTGGCGGGCGTAGCGGCCGCGGCGGTGACGTCGAGGAGATGGAGGTGGGTGTCTGAGGGGCGCAGAGGGCCGCGAATAGGTGTTGGTTGCATTTCTGTGTGGTGTTGTCCTGGCTGTGTGGGTCATTCAGGATGTCGCTGAGGTCGATCCGGAGGACGCTTTGGTTAAGCTTCTTGCCAAGGTGGAGGCGCACCTCGATGAACTCCTGCACACATGACGTGGTGTTGTGTGTTGATGCCATCAGTTTCGTAGGGTGGATGAGTTGATCAAGGCCGCCCCCGAGCCCCAATCGCGGGAACAGCAAGAGCGCATTAGCGTGAGTGACAGCGACACCACACACACTAACGCACTTTCCTCTCTCCATCCACGTCCGTGTGTGTGTGTGTGTGTGTTGTTCAGGAGGTTGACCGTCAGTACCGCGTCTTGTCGAGCACGGTGTGCGCCGACGCCGGCAAGCATTTCCGCACACTCGACGCCATGGAACACACACTCAACGACACCGAGCAGGTCAGCACAGCACAACACAACACAGCACAAACACAGGGAGCCAATCTATCAGACTCCATTTCTCTCTGTTGGTCTTCTCTATCTTCAGTCCAAGTCTTCGGTTAAGAAGCCCGGCGGGCGGACAAGAAGGGCAAGGGCGAGACGGCGGGCGGCGGGAGGGATAAGGTCGAGAGCATCCTGCCATGCAAAAAGGTCAAGTCGTCGCGTGGGTCCAAACCATCTGCCGCAGCACCTGCAGCAAAGCCAACAAAGGTACACACAAAGAGAGGGCTCGCGCATTATTGGCGATGACTGGTCTCACGTGGGATGGTTGATATCAATCAGGCTGCTGCTGCTGGCCCATCCTACTGTTTGGTTAGCAAGAGTGGGCGAAAGCCGTCCGTCAACCATGAGCCGGTAAGACAAACACAGACAAATACCCCATCCATCCATCCATCCACCACACAGCATTTGTTACTGATCCATGACGTGCTGATGCCCTCTCTCTTGGCATCTCAGGCCTGTCGCCGTCTCTCTCGTGAGGAGCTGGCCAACGTGTTCGCCCACCTGCAGCCATGGGAGCTGGCCCGCCTCCGACGGCACCTCGGCAAGGCCCTCTTCCACCAGTCGGCCGCCAACTACACCCACCTGGTCATCGACTGCAAGGACGAGACGGCGCGTCAGATGTGGGCGGCCATGCCACTGGCCACCGCACACAAGTGGGGCCAGCGGATGACGCATTTGAATCGTTTGAGGGTCCGCGCGCCATTCGACCGCCCTGGCTGGGGTCTGGGTAAGTCTACGCACCCACCAGTGCAGCAGAAGTGCATGCCTCACTCACCTTTCTGTGCTATCGTGGATGCGTTCTGTCAGGACATTTGGTCGCCGTCACTGAGGGCCATGCCGACGGGCGGGCGGCGCTCGCGGCGAAGCAGCAGCAGCAGCAGCATCAGTCGGCGGAGAGGGAGGCGAGCGGCGGCGTGGCCATCTCGACGCAGAGCGGTGACGACGGCACCTTGGAGGAGCTGTCATTCGAGAGTGTGCTGATCTTGCCGACCCCTCCCCCCACCCCTGGCCCCCTCCTGGCCCCCTCGCCCATCAAGACCATCAGTTTCCCGGCTCTCACGACCGTCACTGCCGTCCCGCGAGAGGTCGCCCGCATCCGTACGGGCCGCTCGTGGCTGACGCCCAACCTCTCCACCCTCACCTTTGAGAGAGAGGTGGACACAGAGGCAGCCAAGGAGTGGGTCAAGGGCTGCAAGGGGCTTAAGGAGCTGGGGATGGG